AAATCGGATTATTCTGGATCCTATTTTGGCATGTTGCACATCAAAATATCCATCATACATTCCCTGAACATGTTAGATGAAATAGCAAACTTCTTTCATGTCTTACTTGGCACTGGAATGGATGTCAGTCTATAGCCCTGTCACTAATGGATGTCAGTCTAGAGCCCTGCCACTAATGGAAAAGTCAGTCTATAGCCCTCCCCCTAATGGGAAAAGCAGTATGCCCTTCCCTCCCACTAAAGGAAAAAGTCAGTCTATAGCCCCTGCCGCTAATGGAAAAGTCAGTCTAGAGCCCTGCTACTAATGGAAAAGTCAGTCTATAGCCCTGCCGCTAATGGAAAAGTCAGTCTATAGCCCTCCCCCTAATGGAAAAGTCAGTCTATAGCCCTGCTGCTAATGGAAAAGTCAGTCTATATAGCCCTCCCCTAATGAAAAGTCAGTCTATAGCCCTGCCACTAATGGAAAAGTCAGTCTAGAGCCCTGCCACTAATGGAAAAGTCAGTCTATAGCCCTGCCACTAATGGAAAAGTCAGTCTAGAGCCCTGCCACTAATGGAAAAGTCAGTCTATAGCCCTCCCCCTAATGGAAAAGTCAGTCTATAGCCCTGCCACTAATGGAAAAGTCAGTCTAGAGCCCTGCCACTAATGGAAAAGTCAGTCTAGAGCCCTCCCCCTAATGGAAAAGTCAGTCTATAGCCCTGCCACTAATGGATGTCAGTCTAGAGCCCTGCCACTAATGGAAAAGTCAGTCTATAGCCCTGCCGCTAATGGGAAAGTCAGTCTATAGCCCTGCCGCTAAATGGAAAAGTCAGTCTAGAGCCCTGCCACTAATGGAAAAGTCAGTCTAAGCCCTGCCGCTAATGGAAAAGTCAGTCTAGAGCCCTGCCACTAATGGATGTCAGTCTAGAGCCCTGCCACTAATGGAAAAGTCAGTCTATAGCCCTGCCGCTAATGGAAAAGTCAGTCTATAGCCCTGCCGCTAATGGGAAAGTCAGTCTATAGCCCTGCCGCTAATGGAAAAGTCAGTCTAGAGCCCTGCCACTAATGGAAAAGTCAGTCTATAGCCCTGCCGCTAATGGAAAAGTCAGTCTAGAGCCCTGCCACTAATGGATGTCAGTCTAGAGCCCTGCCACTAATGGAAAAGTCAGTCTATAGCCCTGCCGCTAATGGGAAAGTCAGTCTATAGCCCTGCCGCTAATGGAAAGTCAGTCTATAGCCCTTGCCGCTAATGGATGTCAGTCTAGAGCCCTTGCCGCTAATGGAAAAGTCAGTCTATAGCCCTGCCGCTAATGGAAAGTCAGTCTATAGCCCTGCCGCTAATGGATGTCAGTCTAGAGCCCTGCCACTAATGGAAAAGTCAGTCTATAGCCCTCCCCCTAATGGAAAAGTCAGTCTATAGCCCTGCCGCTAATGGATGTCAGTCTAGAGCCCTGCTACTAATGGAAAAGTCAGTCTAGAGCCCTGCCACTAATGGAAAAGTCAGTCTATAGCCCTGCCACTAATGGAAAAGTCAGTCTAGAGCCCTCCCCCTAATGGAAAAGTCAGTCTATAGCCCTGCCACTAATGGAAAAGTCAGTCTAGAGCCCTGCCACTAATGGAAAAGTCAGTCTATAGCCCTGCCGCTAATGGAAAAGTCAGTCTAGAGCCCTGCCACTAATGGAAAAGTCAGTCTAGAGCCCTCCCCCTAATGGAAGTCAGTCTATAGCCCTCCCCCTAATGGAAAGGTCAGTCTATAGCCCTGCCGCTAATGGAAAAGTCAGTCTAGAGCCCTGCCACTAATGGAAAAGTCAGTCTATAGCCCTGCCGCTAATGGGAAAGTCAGTCTATAGCCCTGCCGCTAATGGGAAAGTCAGTCTATAGCCCTGCCGCTAATGGATGTCAGTCTAGAGCCCTGCCGCTAATGGAAAAGTCAGTCTATAGCCCTGCCGCTAATGGGAAAGTCAGTCTATAGCCCTGCCGCTAATGGATGTCAGTCTAGAGCCCTGCCACTAATGGAAAAGTCAGTCTATAGCCCTCCCCCTAATGGAAAAGTCAGTCTATAGCCCTGCCGCTAATGGATGTCAGTCTAGAGCCCTGCTACTAATGGAAAAGTCAGTCTAGAGCCCTGCCACTAATGGAAAAGTCAGTCTATAGCCCTGCCGCTAATGGAAAAGGTCACCAAAGTCTAGGAGTCCCTCCCCCTAATGGGAAAAGTCAGTCTAGAGCCCTCCCCCTAATGGAAAAGTCAGTCTATAGCCCTGCCGCTAATGGAAAAGTCAGTCTATAGCCCTCCCCCTAATGGAAAAGTCAGTCTAGAGCCCTCCCCCTAATGGAAAAGTCAGTCTATAGCCCTCCCCCTAATGGAAAAGTCAGTCTATAGCCCTCCCCCTAATGGAAAAGTCAGTCTATAGCCCTCCCCCTAATGGAAAAGTCAGTCTATAGCCCTGCCGCTAATGGATGTCAGTCTAGAGCCCTGCCGCTAATGGAAAAGTCAGTCTATAGCCCTGCCGCTAATGGGAAAGTCAGTCTATAGCCCTGCCGCTAATGGATGTCAGTCTAGAGCCCTCCCCCTAATGGAAAAGTCAGTCTATAGCCCTGCCGCTAATGGATGTCAGTCTAGAGCCCTGCCGCTAATGGAAAAGTCAGTCTATAGCCCTGCCGCTAATGGGAAAGTCAGTCTATAGCCCTGCCGCTAATGGGAAAGTCAGTCTATAGCCCTGCCGCTAATGGATGTCAGTCTAGAGCCCTCCCCCTAATGGAAAAGTCAGTCTATAGCCCTGCCGCTAATGGATGTCAGTCTAGAGCCCTGCCGCTAATGGAAAAGTCAGTCTAGAGCCCTGCTACTAATGGAAAAGTCAGTCTAGAGCCCTGCTACTAATGGAAAAGTCAGTCTAGAGCCCTCCCCCTAATGGAAAAGTCAGTCTATAGCCCTGCTACTAATGGAAAAGTCAGTCTATAGCCCTCCCCCTAATGGAAAAGTCAGTCTAGAGCCCTCCCCCTAATGGAAAAGTCAGTCTATAGCCCTGCTACTAATGGAAAAGTCAGTCTAGAGCCCTCCCCCTAATGGAAAAGTCAGTCTATAGCCCTGCTACTAATGGAAAAGTCAGTCTATAGCCCTGCCCCTATGGGAAAAGTCAGTCTATAGCCCTGCTACTAATGGAAAAGTCAGTCTAGAGCCCTGCCACTAATGGAAAAGTCAGTCTATAGCCCTCCCCCTAATGGAAAAGTATTTATCGTTGTCAAGCAAAATGGGTATAGATGTATAGATATAATATATTGTAGTGTAGATGAGCGTGGTGCAGGATAGTTAGAACATCTCTGGCCAGTCCCACATGAATACATGTTTTAGTATAGAGAATGTATACAGGGCCTTCAGAAAGGATTCACAACCCCTTGACTTTTCCCACATGTTGTTGTGTTACAGCCTACATTTAAAATGGATTACACTGGTTTACACACACATCCCATAATGTTTTTAGAAATGTTTACAAATGAATAAACAATAAAAAGCTGAAATGTCTTGAGTCAATAAGTATCCAACCCCTTTGTTATGGCAAGCTTCAATATCTTCAGGAGTAAAAATGTGCTTAACAAGTCACATGATAAGTTGCATGGACTCACTCTGTGTATAATAATAGTGTTTAACATGATTTATGAATGACTACCTCATCTCTGTACGCCACAAACAGAATTATCTGTAAGGTCTCTCAGTCGAGCAGTGAATTTCAACCACAGATTCAACCACAAAGACCAGGGAGGTTTTCCAATGCCTCGCGAAGAAGGGCACCGATTGGTAGATGGGTAAACATTTAAAAAGCAGACATTTAATAGCCCTTTGAGCATGGTGAAGTTATTATTTACACTTTGGATGGTTTATCAATACACCCTGTCACTACAAAGATACAGGCATCCTTCCTAACTCAGTTGCCGGAGAGGAAGGAAACCATGAGGCCAATGGTGACTTTAAAACGGTTTCAGAGTTTAATGGCCGTGATAGGAGAAAACTGAGGATGGATCAACAACATTGTAGTTACTCCACAATACTAACCTAATTGACAAAGTGAAAAGAAGGAAGCCTGTACATAATTAAAATATTCAAAAACATGCATCCTGTTTGCAACAAGGCACTAAAGTAAAACAGCAAAGAAATTGGCACAGAAATTAACTTTATGTCCTGAATAAAAAGCTTTATGTTTGGGGCAAATCTAACACAAAGCATCCCTGAGTACCGCTCTCCGTATTTTCAAGCATGGTGGTGGCTGCATTGTTATTTACATGTTATGAGTACGCTTGTCATCGGCAAGGACTAGGGAGTTTTTTAGGATAGAAAAAAACAGAATAGAGCTAAGCACAGGCAAAATCCCAGAGGAAAACCTGGTCCAGTCTGCTTTCAACAGACACTGGGAGACAAATTCACCTTTCAGCAGGACAATAACCTAAAACACAAGGCCAAATATACGCTGGAGTTGCTTACCAAGACAACATTGAATGTTCCTGAGTGGCCTAGTTACAGTTTAGACTTAAATCTGCTTGAAAATCTATGACAAGACTTGAAAATGGCTGTCTAGCAATGATCAACAACCATCTTGACAGAGCTTGAATAATTTTTAAAAGAATAATGTGCAAATATTGTACAATCGATGTGTGCAAAGCTCTTAGAGACTTACCCAGAAAAACTCTCAGCTGTAATCGCTGCCAAAGGTGATTCTAACATGTATTGACTCAGGGGTGTGAATACTTATGTAAATGAGAGATTTTGGGATTTAATTTTCAATACATTTGCAAACATTTCTGAAAACATGTTTTCACTTTGTCATTATGAAGTATTGTGTGTAGATTGATGAGGAAAAAAATATATTGAATCAATTTTGAAATCCGTCTGGAACACAACAAGACGTGGAATAAGTCAAGGGGTATAAATACTTTCTGAAGGCATTGTAAATAATGTATTGATAATGCATTATATTCTAGGTGAGCGTGGTTCAGGACTCTGTGAACATCTCTGGCCAGTCCAACATGAACATGCTGAAGGTTCCAGAGTGCCAGCTGTCAGACGACCTGGGGAGCCTGTGGGAGTGTTCTCGCTTCACTGACTGTTCCCTCTATGTGGGGGGGCAGGAGTTCAAGGCACACAAATCCATCCTGGCAGGTAAGACCCAGGCAATACCTCTCTAACAATACCAGCAACAACCAGCTCACTACCAGCTCTCTAACCAGCTCACTACCAGCAACAACCAGCTCTCTACCAGCAACAACCAGCTCACTACCAGCAACAACCAGCTCTCTACCAGCAACAACCAGCTCACTACCAGCAACAACCCTAACCCTGGGTTGTAACCCCTCCCCCTAACTCTGACACCCCTCCTTCCCCTCCACTCCACTAGTAACAGCAGTAACACCTGGGTTCATATGGGGCTCTCCTGCCCTCCCTTACCTCAGCCGTCCCAGCTGTGCTGACTGAAGGATATGGATAGATTCCTTCACTGCTTTAGACATGGCAGCAGTTTGGTAAAGAATGCCTTGAATCACGACGTAGACATACTAATGTTGTTTTTACTTCTTTGGTTGACAGCGAGATCTCCCGTCTTTAGCGCCATGTTTGAACATGAGATGGAGGAGAGTAAAAAGGTGTGTAGTTTTATTGAGAATGACCTGATGTGAACGCATTGTGTTGCGCTGCTACTACTGTATTTATCATAGTCATAGTAACACAATGATACTGTGTCTATGTGACCTGTCTCAGAACCGTGTGGACATCAGTGATGTGGACCCAGATGTGTTTAAGGAGATGATGGGATTCATCTACACAGGGAAAGCTCCCAACCTGGAGAAGATGGCCGACAACCTGCTGGCAGCTGCTGACAAAGTAAGACTGCCAGCATGTAATGTAGCTAGTCGTTATTGGCAACCCTAACCCTAACCCTAACCCTAACCCTAACTCTAACTCTAACTCTAAACCTAACCCTAACTCTAACCCTAAACCTAACCCCTAACCCCTAACCCCTAACCCCTAGCCCCTAAACCCTAACCCTAACCCCTAACCCCTAACCCCTAACCCCTAACCCTAACCCTAGCCCCTAACCCAACCCCAACCCCAACCCTAGCCCCTAGCCCCTAACCCTGCCCCTAGCCCCTAACCCTAACCCCAGATGTAACAGTAGCCTGTGGATATACTGCTAACGAGTCATTTCAAATGATAATCCAATTAGTTTAAAAATGTTAAATAATCCGCATGGTTGGGGAGACTGTAACCCTACAACTCTGCTCTCTCTGTGGAGAACAACGATGTCAACCTTTGTCCTATAAAGATTATGAACTCATAAAACATCGTGATATATGATGGTGTTTCCCCCCTATTGGCCAACCCCCCCCCCCCCCCCCCCCAAAAGAAAAAACCGTTGGGCTATAGCGCAAAATTACATGATACAACTGGACGAATCATGATGAAAGATATGGTTGTTGAAAGCCTGGACGAATCATGATGAAAGATATGGTTGTTGAAAGCCTGGACGAATCATGATGAAAGATATGGTTGTTGAAAGCCTGGACGAATCATGATGAAAGATATGGTTGTTGAAAGCCTGGACGAATCATGATGAAAGATATGGTTGTTGAAAGCCTGGACGAATCATGATGAAAGATATGGTTGTTGAAAGCCTGGACAAATCATGATGAAAAGATATGGTTGTTGAAAAGCCCTGGACGAATCATGATGAAAGATATGGTTGTTGAAAGCCTGGACGAATCATGATGAAAGATATGGTTGTTGAAAGCCCTGGACGAATCATGATGAAAGATATTGGTTGTTGAAAGCCTGACGAATCATGATGAAAGATATGGTTGTTTGAAAGCCTGGACGAATCATGATGAAAGATATGGTTGTTGAAAGCCTGGACGAATCATTAAGATATGTTGTTGAAACCTGGAGATCATGAAGATATGGTTGTTGAAAGCCTGGACGAATCATGATGAAAGATATGGTTGTTGAAAGCCTGGACGAATCATGATGAAAGATATGGTTGTTGAAAGCCTGGACGAATCATGATGAAAGATATGGTTGTTGAAAGCCTGGACGAATCATGATGAAAGATATGGTTGTTGAAAGCCTGGACAAATCATGATGAAAGATATGGTTGTTAAAAACCTGGCCCGAACCCATGATAAAAATATGGTTTTTTTTAAAGGGCCTGGACAATCATGATGAAAGATATGGTTGTTGAAACCTGGACGAATCTTTAATAAAGATAGGGTTGTTAAAACCCCGGGAAAAATCATGATGAAAGATAGGGTTGTTGAAAGCCGGGAAAGAATAAATGAGGGGAAAGATAGGGTTTTGTTGAAAGCCTGGACAATCATGAAAAAAAGATTTTGGTTTTTGAAAGCCGGACGAATCATTTGAAAGATAGGGTTTTTGAAAGCCTGGACGAATCATTTTAAAGATTGGTTTTTGAAACCCCTGGACGAATCATGATAAAAGTTTGGGTTTGTTGAAAGCCTGGACAATCATGATGAAAGTTTGGGTTTTGTTAAAACCTGGACAAATAAAAAAAAATTGAAGATAGGGTTTGTTGAATGCCGGGAAAGAATCATGGGAAAGATATGGTTTTTTTGAAACCCTGGACGAATCATGATAAAAATTTTTGGTTGTTAAATGCCGGGACAAAAGGCTAAGGGGCGGAAAAATTTTTTTCTAAATTCGTTTCTGGTGGAGGAGTTTCTCATGGAGGGGGGAGTGTGAGTGTGAGGGGTGAGTTTTTTTTGTGTGTGTGTGTTTTGGTGTGGTGTGTGGGGGTTTTAATGGGGACGATCCGGGTTTGGGCAAATTTCCAGTAAAACTGGCGTCTTACTGGGGGGTTTTATAAAATGACCCTCATCCCTCATAAAGCGGGGTTTTGAGAATATCCTGTCTAGGGCAAAAAGAACCCACTTTAAATTATTTTTTTATTTTGAAAACAGCCCCCTTTGGGACAAAAACCTCTTGGGCTTTAAAAATTTTGGGGAAATAAGCTACTGTAATAACTTTAACTGGTCTTAAAGCTTAATGAGGGGCCCAGTAGCAAGAAGGTTTTTGCCCTCTCTCTCTCTCAGTATAAATGATGGGTTTATTGCTCTCTCTCTCCCCTTTAGGGGGATAGGTTAGTTGGTCTCTCCCCTCTCTCAATAGGAGGATATTTTTATTGTCTCCTCTCTCTCATTAGGAGGATGGGTTTAAATTGTCTCCCTCCTCTAAATGGGAAGGATGGTTTTTGGGCTTCCCTCAGTATGATGATGGGTTTGTCTCTCTCAGTAGGGGGATAGGTTTTTGGGTCTCCTCTCAGTGGAAAATAGATTTTTGCCCTCTCTCTCAGTAGGATGGTTTAAATTGTCTTCTCCCCCCAAGTGGGAAATGATAGTTATTGTCTCTCATAGGTGGTTTGTCTCTCTCCCCATTGGGATAAATTAGTTTTTGCCCTCCTCTCAGTATGATGATATTTGTCTCTTTTCTCAGTAGGAGGATAGGTTTTGTTCCTCTCTTCTCATAGGGGGATAGGTTTTGTCTCTCTCTCAGTAGGAGGATTTTTAAATTGTTTCTCTCCAGTGGGAGGATATTTTTTTGCCCTCTCCCCTCTTGGGAGGATGGGTTTTTATTGTCTCTGCCCTCATAGGGGGATGGTTTTTGGTCTCTCTCTCATTAGGAAAAAGGGGTTATTGTCTCTCTCAGGAAAAGGTAGGTTTTTTTCTCTCTCTCTCTCAGTGGGGAGGATGGGTTTGTCCTCTCAGTGGAGGATTTTTTAATTCTCCCCTCTCATTTGGGAGGATGATTTTTTGGTCTCTCTCTCGTAGGGGGATAGATTATTGTTCTCTCCAGTAAATGGATAGTTTTTGTCTTTCTTTCTCATTATTAGGATGGGTTTTTTGTCTCTGTCCCCGTAGGGGGATAGGTTTTTGGTCTCTCTCTCATGGGAAATAAAGGGTTTATTGTCTCTTTTCCTCAGAAAGGAGGAAAAAGGTTATTGTCTCCGGGAAAAGGGAAAGGGGTTTTGTCTCTCTCTCCCCCAATTAGGGGATGGTTTTGTCTCTCTAAAGGAGGATAGTTTATTGTTCTTTTCCCCGTAGGAGGATATTTTTGTCTCTCTCCCCGTAGGAGGATAGGTTTTTGGTTTTCTCCTCAGTGGGAAAGGCATTTTTATTGTCTTTTCAGAAAAAGGATAGGTTATTGCCCTCTCGCTCTCTCAGTAGGAGGATGGGTTGGGTTCTCCCCAGTAGGAGGATAATTATTGTCTCTCTCTCAGTAGGAGGATAATTGTCTCTCTCTCAGAAAGAAGGATGGGTTATTGTCTTTTTTTTTCTCATTTAGGGGATAGGTTTTGGTCCTCTGTCTCAGAGGGGGAAATGGGTTTATTGTCCCATTAGGGGGAATTTTTTTATTGTCTCTCTCTCAGTAGGGGGAAATAGGTTATTGCCCTCTCTCTAAATAGGAGGAATTTTTATTGTCCCCTCTAAAAGGAAAAAGGGATGGGTTATTGCCCTCTCTCTTAGGATGATAGGTTATTCTATCTCTCTTCTCAGTGGATGATGGGTTTTGTCCCTTTTCCCCTTTTTAATGAGTTTGGTTTTATTGTCTCTCCCCAGAAAGGAGGTGGGTTTATTGTCTCCTCTTTCGGGTAGGGGGGATAGGTTATTGTTCTCTCAGTAAGGATGGGTTTTATTGTCCCTCCCGGGAAAGGGAAAGGGTTATTGCCCTCTCATTGGATATGGTTTTTTCCCTCTCTCGTAGGGGGATAGGTTTTTTTGTCTCGGGCAGTAGGGGGATCGGTTTTTCTCTCTCAGTAGGGGGAATTTTATTTTCTTGTTAAATTGGGAGGATAGGTTATTCTATTCCCCCTCATAGGGGGAAATTTTGTTTTGTCTCTCCCCCCCTTTTAGGAGGATTGGTTTTTTGGGCCCCTCTCTCGGGAAGGAAATAAATGGGGTTAAATTGTTCTCGGGAGGGGAAAGGTTTTGTCTCCCCTCTCTCTCAGTAGGAGGATAGGTTTTTCTCCCCTCTCAGTAGGAGGTTTAATTTTTGGGCCCTCGCCCCTCAGTAGGAGGATGTTTAAATTGCCCTCTCCCCTCGTAGAAGGTAGGTTATTGTCTTTTTTTTCCCTCAGTTGGGGGGATTTTTTTATTGCCCCTCTGTCTCGTGGGAAAGGGATGGGTTTTATTTTTTCGGGAGGGGGAAAGTTATTGTTTTCTCTCTCAGTGGGAGGATAGGTTTTGTCCTCCCCTCTCAGTAGGAGGATGGGTTATTGTCTTTTGTCTCAGTGGAGGATGGTTTTTTGGGTCTCTCTCTCAGTAGGGGGCATATTTTTTTGTCTCCCCGGAAAAGGATAGGTTTTTGCCCCTCCCCCCTCTCTCATAGGGGGGATGGGTTGTCTCTCAGTTGGGAAAAGGTTTTATTATTGTCTCTCTCTCATTAGGGGGATGTTTGTCTCTCCCCTCAGTAGAAGGAAAAGGTTAAATTGTTTTTTTTTCCCTCTTAGGAGGATAGGTTATTGCCCTCTGTCCCAGAAAGGAGGTTTGGTTTTGTCTCAGTAGGGGGAAATAGGTTTTTGGGTCTCTCTCTCAGAAAGGAGGATGGGTTATTGTCTCTCTCAGGAAAAGGGGATAGGTTATTGTCTCCCCCGTAGGTGATAGGTTATTCTATCTCTCCCTCTCCCCTTAGGATGATGGGTTTTATTGTCTCTCTCTCAGTATGGGGTTTGGTTTTTTGTCCTCCCCAGAAAGGAAAGTGGGTTATTGTCCTCTTCTTGCTTGGGGAGGATTTTGTTTTTGCCCTCTCTCAGTAGGGGGTAGGTTATTTTTCCCCTCTCAGAGAAGGATGGTATTGTCTCTCAGTAGGATGATAGGTTTTGTCTCTCTCAGTAGGGGGTCGGTTTTGTCTCTCCCCAAGTGGAGGGGGGGTTTTTGTCTCTGTCTCAGAAAGGAGGATGGTTATTCTACTCTCTCTCAGTAAAGGATATTTTTAATTGTCTCTTTTCCCCATTAGGGGGAAATTTTTTTTTTTTTTTTGGTCTCTCTCTCAGAAGGATGATGGGTTTTATTGTCTCTCAGGAAAGGATAGGTTTTTTGGGTCCCTCTCTCCCATAGGAGGATGGGGTTGTCTTTTTCTCAGTGGAGGATTTTATTTTTTCGCTCCAGGGGGGGGGGAAAAGATTATTGTCTCTCCTCTTTTTAGAAAGGATATTTTTTAATTGTCTTTCTTTCTCAGTAGGAGGATGGGTTTTTTGGGTCTCTGTCTCAGTAGGAGGATGGTTATTTCTCGTAGGAAAATGGGTTTTATTGTCTCTCTCCCCGTAAAAAGGATAGGTTATTGTCTCTCTTTTTCCTTTGTAGGAGGATGGGGTTTTTGTCTCTTCCTCAGTAGGGGATGGTTTAAATTGTCCCCCTCAGGAGAAGGATGGGTTGTCCAGAAAGGAGAATGGGTTAAATTGTCTCTCTCTCTCATTAGGGGGAAGGGGTTGTCCTCTCAGGGGGAGGATAGGTTTTTGGGCCCTCTGCATAGGAGGTATTTTAAAGGTGTCTCTCAGTAGGAGGATGGGTTTTTGCCTCCCCTCAGTAAAAGATGGGTTTAAATTGTATCTCTCATTAGTAGGGATGGGTTTTATTGTTTTTGTGTCAGTAGGGGGAAATAGGTTTTGTCTCTCTCCCCGGGGGAGGATAGGTTATGTCTCCTCCCCGGGAGGAGGATGGGTTTTTATTGTCTCTAAAAAGAAGGATAGGTTATTGTCTCTCTGTCATTAAGATGGTTTTTGTCCTGGGGTCGTGGAGGATATTTTTATTTTTCCTCTCTCAGTGGGAAAGGATAGGTTATTGTCTCTCCCTCTCTCCTCCCCCCCCCCCAGTGGAGGATGGTTATTGTCTCTCCATAGGAGGATAGGTTATTGCCTCTCTCTCCTTAGGAGGATAGGTTTTGCCTCTCCCCGTAGGAGGATTGTTATTGTCCTCAGTAAAGGGATAGGTTTTTTTGTCTCTCTCTCGTAGGAGGATAGGTTTTTGGTCTCTTCCCCGTAGGGGGATAGGTTTTGTTTTCTACTCGGAGGATATTTTAATTGTCTCTCCCCCTTCATGGGAAGGATATTTATTGTTTTTTTCCCCTCGAAAGGGGGGATGGGGTTATTGCCCCTCTCTAGGGGAAAAGGATAGGTTATTGTCTCGGTCTCATAGGAGGAAGGTTATTGCCCTCTCTCTCCCGTAGGGGGATGGGGTTTTTGTCCCCTCTCATAAAAGGAGGTTGTCCCCAGAAAGGAAAATTTTTTTTATCTCTCATTAGGGGGATATTTTTTTATCTCTCTCAGTAGGAGGATAGGTTTTTTTGGGTCTCTTTTCAGTACCCGGTTTAATTTTATAGTCTTTTCCCGTGGGAAAATTTTGGTTTTTGATCTCTCATTAGGGGGATACGTCATTACCCCCTTCTCTTTTCCTCTCTCTCTCAGTAGGAGGTGGGTTTTTAATGTCCCTTCCCCAGTAGGAGGATGGTTAATGTCCTCCCCCCGTAGGAGGATAGGTTATTTTACTCCGGTAGGGGGAAAGGTTTTTTCTCTCTCCTTTGGGAGGAAAAATTTTATTTTTCCCCCTCTGTCATGGGAGGATAGGTTTTTTGTTCCTCTCAGTAAAAGGAAAAACTTTTCCTCTCTCGGGAGAAGGTTTGGTTATTGTCTCTCCCCTCAGAAAAGGGAAAGGGGAAATTGCCCTCTCTCTCATAGGAGGATATTTTGTTCTCTCTCAGTGGGAAAAGGATGGGTTTATTTGCCTCTCTCATTGGGAGGTGGTTAAATTGGGCCCTCTGCCTCGTAGGAGGTTTGGTTATTGTCCCCTGTCTCGGGTAGGAGGATGGGTTTTTTTCCATGGGGAGGATATTTTTATTGTCTCTCTCATTAGAGTTAGGTTTATTGTCTCTCCCCAGAGGGGGATTGGTTATTGTCTTTTTTAGTGAAAATAGGTTTTTGTCCCCCCTCTCAGAAAGAGGATGGGTTTTTATTGTCCCCTCTCAGTAGGGGGTTTGGTTATTGTCTCCTCTCCCCCCGTGGGGGGATGGGTTTTATTGTCTCTCCCCTCATTGGGGGGAAAAGGTTTTTTTGTCCTCTCTCCTCAGTAGGGGATGGGTTTTTGTCTCTCTCATAGGAGGATAGGTTTTTGGGTCTCTGTCTCATTAGGGGGATGGGTTTTATTGTCTCTGCCCTCAGAAAGGAGGATAGGTTTTTTTTCAGTAGAGGATATGTTATTGCCCTCTCTCGAAAGGAGGGTGGGTTTTATTTCCTCGCTCCCCCCTCATAGGGGGATAGGTTTTTGTCTCTCTTTTCAGTAAGGTGGGTTATTGTCTCCTCTCAGTAGGGGTTTGGGTTTTTTTGGGTCTCTCTCGGGGAAAAAGAAAAGGTTGTCTCAGTAGGAGAAAAAGGTTATTGTCTCTTCCAGTAGGGGGTTTAAGTTATTGTCTCTCCTAGGAGAATATTTTATTGTATCTCTCATGGGAGGATACTTATTATCTCTTTTCTCTCTCAGTGGAGGATAGGTTATTTTTTCCTCTGTCTCAGTAGGAGGGTGGTTTTTTGTCTTCTCTCCTCGTAGAGGGATAGGTTTTTGGGTCTCTCCCCTCCCCTCAGTAGGGGGATAGGTTAGTGTCTCTTTTTTGGTCAGTGGGAAAGGATTGTTTTTGTCTCTGTCTCAGTGGAGGAAAAGGTTATTGTCTCTGTCTCAGTAGGGGGATGGGTTTTATTGTCTCATAAAAAAGGAAAATTTTTTTTTGTCCTCTCATGGGGGAGGATGGGTTTTGTCTCCCCTCTCAGTAGGAGGATAGGTTATTGTCCCTCTCGGGTAGAAAGATGGTTTTATTGCCCCTCCCCCCCAGTAGGAGGATGGGTTAAAGGGTTTCTTTTCCCATTAAAAGGGATGGGTTAAATTGTCTTCCCCAGGAGAAGGATGGGTTTCTCAGTAGGAATAGGTTATTGTTTTCTGTCTCAGTAGGGGGATGGGTTATTGTCTCATGGGGGAATGTTATTGTCTTTTCCCCAGTTTTAGATAGGTTTTTGTTTTCCCCTCTCAGGGAGGATATTTTTATTGTCTCTCGCTCATAGGAGGGTGGGTTATTGTCCTCCCCCCTCTCAGTAGGAGGGTGGGGTTAAATTGCCCTCTCTCAGTAGAAGGATGGTTTATTGTCTTTTCTCCCCAAATTAAAGGATAGGTATTGTCTCTCTCTCTCTCCCCCCAGTTGGAGGATGGGTTTTAAATTTTCCCCTCTCTCAGTCCCAAAGGATAGGTTTTTTGTCTCTCGGGTCAGTGGGAGGATGGGTTTTATTTTCCCTGCCTCAGAGGAGGTAGGTTTTTTTGTCTCTCTCAGAAAGGCAGGATAATTTTTGTCTCTCCGTAGGAGAAAAAGGTTTTTGTCTCTCTCCCCCGGGAAAGGAAAGGATGGGTTTTTTGTCTTTTTTCCCCCTTAGGAGGATAGGTTTTTTGTCCCTGTCTCAGTAGGAGGATGGGTTATTGTCTCTTTTGTCAAAAGGAGGAGGTTATTGTCTCTTTTTGTCGTAGGAGGTTTGGTTTTGTTTTCTCTAAATGGAGGATGGGTTTTATTGTCTCTCTCTCATTAGGGGGAATAGGTTTTTTGTCTCTCCCCTCTCGTAGGAGGATGGGAAATTGTCCCCTCCTCCCCTCTCATAGGAGGATGGGTTTTTTCTATCTCTGTAGGAGATAGGTTATTGCCCCTCTCTTCAATAGGATGTAGGTTATTGTCCCTCCTCGGGTAGGGGGTGGGTTTTATTGCCCCTCTCTTTTCATTGGGAGGATAGGTTTTTTGTCCTCTCTCCCCCAGTGGGAAATGTGGGTTTTTTTCTCTCTCTCAGTAGGAGGATGGGTTTTATTCTCTTCTCCTCTCAGTGGAGGATGGTTTTTTGTCCTTTTGCCCAGTAGGGATAGGTTGTTGCCCTCTCTCTCTCAAAAGGATAATGGTTATTCTCTTCTCAGTAGGGGGAGGGTTTATTCCTTCTCCCCTCTCGTGGGAGGAAGGTTAGGTCTCTCTCATGGGTTTAATGGGTTTTTTTCCCTCCCCTAAAAGGGATGGGTTAAATTTGTCCCTCTCTCTCAGAAAAAAGGAAAGGGTTTAAATTGTCTCTCTCTCAGTAGGAGGATAGGTTTTTACCCTTTTCTCAGTAGGGGAAAATTTTATTGTCTCTCTCTCAGGGGAGGATAGGTTTTTTTGTCCCCTGTCTCAGTAGGGGGATGGTTTTGTCTTTTTGTCTCAGTGGGGGAAATGGGTTTATTATCTCTCCAGTAGGGGGATGGGTTTTTTGTCTCTCTCTCTCAGTAGGGGGTGGGTTTATTGTCTCGGCCCTCAGTGGGAGGATGGGGTTTTGCTCTGTCTCAAAAAGGGGATAGGTTTTTTGGGTCTCTGCCCCTCAGTAGGAGGATAGGTTATTATCTCTCTCAGTGGGAGGATAGGTTTTTGGGGTCCTCTCTCAGTAGGGGGTTTTTAATGTTTTGGGCTCTCTCTCATAGGAGGTTTGGTTTTTGGGTCCCCTGCCCTCAGTAGGAGGATAGGTTTTGTCTCTGTCCAGAAAGGGGGAATTGGGTTTTGTCCTCGGGCTCAAGGAGGATAGGTTATTGTCTCTCTCCCCATTAAAGGAAAAGGTTTTACCCCTCTCTCATAGGGGATTTTTATTGCCTCTCATTAGGAGGATATTTATTGTCTCTGTCTCATTGGGGGGAAAGGGTTTTTGGTTTTGTCTCATAGAAGGATAGGTTTTGTCTCTGCCCCTTTGGGAGGATGGGTTTTATTGCCCTCTGTCTCAGTAAAAGGATGGGTTTATTGTCTCTCTCTCAGTGGGCAGGATGGGTTTAAATTGTCTCTCTCATTTAATTATGATGGGTTTTATTCTCTCAGGGGGAAGGAAAGGGGGTTTTTCCTCCTCTCTCCCCGTAGGAGGATAGGTTTATTGTCTCTCTCATTTGGGGGGGGGGATATGGTTTTTCTCTCAGTAGGAGGATAGGTTATTGTCTCCTCCTCTCTCCCCAGAGGGGGGAAATGGGTTTTTTTTTCTCTCTCCCCATTTGGGGAGGATGGGTTTTGGGTCTCCTCTCTCTCAGTAGGGGGATAGGTTTTTTCCCCTGTCAGTGGGTTTATAGGTTATTGTCCCCTCTCTCTCTCAGTAGGGGATAGGTTTTGTCTCTGCCCTCAGTAGAGGATAGGTTATTGCCCTCTCTCTCATTGGGCAGGATGGGTTTTTGTCCCCTCTCTCAGTAGCGGAATAGGTTTTTTGGGTCTCTGTCTCCCAGAAAGGGGAAAAGGTTATTGCTCTCTCTCAGTAGGAGGATGGGTTTATTGTCCTCTCTCTCAGTAGGGGGGTTAGGTTTTGTTTTCTCTCCCCCTAGGAGGATAGGTTTTGCTCCCCTCTCAGTAAGTTGGTTATTTTTTTCTCTCTCATTAGGGGGATGGGTTTTTATTGTTTTTTGTCTCATAAAAGGGAAAAGGTTTTTTGTCTCTCTCTCTCATTGGGGGATGGGTTTTATTGTCTCTCTCCCCCCAGAAAGGAGGATAGGTTATTTTCCCTCCCCTCAGTAGGAGGTTTGGGTTTTTTTGTCTCAGTAGGAGGATGGGTTTTATTGTCTCTCTCATAGCAGGTAAGTTTTGTCTCTCTGTGGGAGAATGGGTTTATTGTCTCTCTCTCAGTAGGATATAGGTTTTTGTCCTCTCCCCGTAGGGGGATGGGTTTAAATTGGGGTCTCTGTCTCAGTGGGGGATAGTTTATTGTCCGGGTCTCAAATTTAGGGGTAGGTTATTGTCTCTCTCTCTCATAGGGATAGGTTATTGTCTCTCTCTCCCCTCTCTCCCCAGTAGGAGGATGGGTTTTTTTGTCTCTCTCAGAAAAGAAAGGGTAGGTTTATTGTCTTCCTCAGTAGGAGGAAAGGTTATTGTCTCAGTAGGAGGATGGTTTTTTGCCTCTCTCAAAAGCAGGATAATTTATTGTCCCCTCTGAAAGGAGAATAGGTTTTTTGTCTCTCTCTCAGTAGGGGGATAGGTTAATTGTCTCTGTCATGGGAGTAGGTTATTGTCTTTTCCTGTCGGGTAGGAGGATAGGTTATTTGTCCCCCCCATAGCAGGATAGGTTTTGTCTCTCTCAATGGGAGGATAGGTTATTGTCTCTCTGCCCTTTTTAGGAGGATGGGTTATTGCCCTCTCTCAGTAGGGGATGGTTTTTTGGGCTCCCCAAATAGGGGGAATTTTTAATTGTCTCCTGCAGTGGGAGGGATGGGTTTTTTTGTCTCTCTCTCCATAAAAAATCATAGGTTATTGTCCCCTCTCTCTCATTGGGAAAGGGTGGTTTTTGCCCTTCTCTCTCTATGGAGGATGGGTTTTTTATTGCCTCTCTCTCAGTGGAGTTTTGGTTAAATTGGGTCTCTCTCTCAGTAGAAGGATATGTAATTGTCTCTCTCAGTGGGAGGATATGTTTTGTCTCTTCTCAGTAGGGGGTAGGTTTTGTCTCTCTCTCCAGAAAGGGGGAAGGTTATTGCCCTCTCTCTCAGTATAGGATGGGTTTTTTGTCTCCTCTCAGAAAGGCGGATGGGTTTATTTTTCTCTGCCCTCGTAGGGGGGAAGGGGTTAAATTGCTCTGCCCTCATTAGGGGGGGGGGGGGAGGTTTTTTTGGGTCTCTCTCTCAGTAGGAGGTTTAGGTTTTTTTGCCCTCCCCTCCCTCAGTGGGAGGATAGTTTTGCCTCTCTCCCCTCTCTCAGTAGGGGGATAGGTTTTTTGTCTCCTCTGGGTTTCCGGGATAGGTTATTGTCTCTCTCCCCGTAGGGGGATGGGTTTAGGGGCCCTCAGTAGGGGATGTTTTATTGTCTCTCTAAAGAAAGCAGGATTTTAAATTGTTCTCTGTAGAAAAATGGGGTTTTTTGTCTCTCCCCCTCCTAGGAGAAATAGGTTTTGTCTCTCTCCCGTAGGCGATATTTATTGTCTCTGCCCTCAGTAGGAGGATGGTTATTGTTTCGGGTTTTCATTAGGGGGGGGGGGGGGTTTATTGTCTCTCTCTCTCTCTTTAGGGGGATATTTTATTGCCCTCTCTCTCTCTCTTTTCATGGAGAAAAGGTTTTGTCTCCCCTCTCAGTAGCGGGATAGGTTATTGCTCCTCTCAGTAGGGGGATAGGTTATTGTTTTCGTGGGAAAGGATGGGTTTAAATTGTCTCCCCTCAGTACAGGATAATTATTGTCTCCTGTAAGAATAGGTTTTGTCTCTCTCAGTAAAAGATAATTAAATTGTCTCGGTCATTTAGGAGGTAGGTTTTTCCTGTCAGTAGGATGATGGGGTTTTGGGTTCTCTCTCAGTAGGGATGGTTATTGTCTCTCTCTCAGTAGGAGGATGGTTATTTTTCTTTTGGGCAGTAGGAGGAATGGGTTTTATTGTCTCCTCATAGTGGATGGGTTTAATTGCCCTCTCTCAATGGGAGGATGGGTTTATTGTCTCTCTGTCATTGGGAGGTAGTTTAGGGGGCCCTTCTCTGTAGGAAAATTGTTATTGTCTCTCTCTCTTAGGGGGAAAGGGTTTATTGTCCCCCTTGTCCAGTAGGGGGGATGGGTTTTATTGCCCCTCTCTCAGTAGGAGGATGGGGTTTATTTCTCTCTAAATAGGGGATAGGTTTTTTTTCCCTCTCGTCAGTAGGGGGAAAAGGGTTATTGTCTCTCTCCTCAGGGGAAAGGTAGGTTTTTTTCTCTCTCTCTCAAAAATGGGGATGGGTTTATTGTCTCTGTCCAGTAGGAGGATAGGTTTATTGTCTCTCTCTCATTAAGGATATTTAATTGTCTCTGTCTCAGTAAAAGGATAGGTTATTTTCCTCTCTCTCTCATGGGATATGGGTTTGGGTCTCTCTCTCAGTAGGAGGATGGTTTTATTGCTCTCTCCATGGGCGGATAGGTTATTGTCTCTGCCCTCATAGGAAGGATAGGTTATTGTCTCTGTCTCAGTAGGAGGGTGGTTATTGTCCCCCTCCCCAGTAGGAGGATAGGTTTTTTGGGTCTCCCCTCTCAGTAAAAAAATAGGTTTTATTGCCCTCTCTCTCTCAGTAAGGATGGGGTTATTGTCTCTCTTCAGTAGGGGGTGGGTTATTGTCTCATTTGGGGGATAGGTTTTTGTTCTCTCAGTAGAAAGGATAAGTTATTGTCTCGGGTAGGAAATGGGTTTAAATTGGGCCCCTCTCTCAGACCGGATAAGGTATTGTCTCTCGTAAAGAATGGGTTTTTTTTCTCTGTCCAGTGGAGGTTTGGTTATTGTTTCTCTCCCCCTCAGGGGGGGGAAAGGATGGTTATTGCCCCTCTCCATAGGAGGATGGTTTTTTTTCTCTCTCAATAGGAGGATGGTTTATTGTCCCTTGCCCGTAAGAGGATAGGTTATTTTTCTCCTGTCAGTAGGGGAAATAGGTTTTTGTTCTTCCTCTCTCTAAAAAGTAGGGGGATTGGTTATTTTTCTCTCTCTCGTGGGAATTATATTTATTGTCTCTCTTTCCCCTTTTCCCCGTAGGATGATAGGTTTTGCCCTCTCTCCCCGTAGGGGGAAATGGGTTTTTATTGCCCTCTCCCCAGTAGGGGGAAGGGTTATCCCCTCTCAATAAAAGGAAAAGGTTATTGTCTCTCTGTCATAGGGGGGATGGTTTTGCCCTTCTTCATTAGGGGGATGGGTTTTTGTCTCCTTCATTGGGAAGGGATGGGTTTTTTGGGTTCTCTCTCTCCTCCCCCAGTGGGAAAGGATATTTTATTGTCCTCTCTTCAGTAGGGGATATGTTATTGTCTCTCTCTCCTCCCCTTTGGGATGATAGGTTATTGTCTCTCCCCTTAGGAGGAAAAGGTTTTGTCTCTCTCTCATAGGAGGATATGTTTTTGTCCCTCCCTCTCATTAGGAGGATAGTTATTTCTCTCTCTTTCTCAGTAGGAGGATAGGTTTTTGTCTCTCTCTCAGTAGAGGATGGGTTTATTGTCCCCCCTCTCTTTCTCAGTGGGAGGATAGGTTTTCTCTCTCGGGTACGGATAAGTTATTGCCCTCTCTGTGGAAAAGGTTATTTTTCTCCCCTCGTAGAGGTAGGTTATTGTCCTCCCCAGTAGGGGATGGGTTTAAATTACTTTTCCCCCCATAGGGGGGATGGGTTTTTTTCTCTCTGTCAGTAGGGGGAAAGGGTTTTATTGTCCCTCTGTCATGGGGAGGATGGTTTATTGTCTCTCTCTTAGGGGGAAATGGGTTATTGCCTCTCTCTCTCAGTAGGGGGGAAATATGTTTTTGCCTCTCTCTCAGTATTAGGAAAAGGTTATTGTCTTTTCCCCTCATAGGGGGATAGGTTTTTCCTCTCCCCCTCAGTAGGGGGGATGGGTTTTTTGTCTCGCCCTCAAAAGGGGGAAATTTATTGTTTTCTGCCCGTAGGACGATGGGTTTGGGTCTCTCTGCCCAGTGGGGGATAGGTTTTTTCCCTCCTGTCAGAAAGGAGGATAGGTTTTTGGGTCTCCTCTCATAGTAGGTAGGTTATTGTCTCTCTCCCCCGGGTTTAGGAAAGGTTTTTTTCCTCTCTCAGTGGGGGGATGGGTTTAAATTGCCCCCTCTGTCAGTAGGGGAATAGGTTATTTCTCTCTGTCTTTGGGGAGGAAAGGTTATTTCTCTCTCAGTAGGAGGATGGGTTTATTGTCTTTCTCATTAGGAGGATAGGTTATTGTCTCTCTCGGGTGGGAGGATAGGTTATTGTCACTCTCAGTAGGAGGTTTGGTTTTTTGGACTCTCCCCCCGTAGGGGATGGGTTATTGTCTCTCGGTCAGAAAGGGGGATGGGTTTATTTTCCCCCCTCAGTAGGGGAATAGTTTTTTTGTCCTGTCTCAGAAAGGAGGATGGGTTATTGTCCTCTCTCTCATTAGGAAATATGTTATTGTCTCCCAGTGGGAGGATAGGTTTTTGTCTCCTCTCGAGGGGGAATGTTATTGTCTCTCTCTCGTAGGAGGAAAAGGTTTTTGGCCCTTCCCCTCTTTCCCAGTAGGAGGATGGTTTTATTGTCTCCTCTCAGTACAGGATAGGTTTTTGGGTCTCTCTCTTTCTAAATTAGGAGGATGGGGGTTTATTGTCTCTCTCGAAAGAAAGGATAATTATTGTCTCTCGGGGTAGGAGAATAGGTTTTTGTCTCTCTCAGTGGGAGGATGGTTATTGTCACTCTCGGGGAGGATAGGTTATTGCCCTCATTAGTAGGGGGATAGGTTTTTGGGCCCTCTGTCAGTAGGAGGATAGGTTTTTTTCTTCTGTCATTAGGAATGGGTTTTGTCTCTCTCAGTAGGGGGATAGGTTTTGCCTCTCTCCCCTCAGAAAGGAGGATAGGTTTTTTCCTCTCTCTCATTTAAGTGGGAAAGGGGTTTTGGGTCTCTCCCCCCTTCAGTAGGGGATAGGTTTTTTCCTCCTCTCTCATGGAAAAGGAAGGTTATTGCTCTGTCTCGTGGAGGATATGTTATTGTCCCCCGGTCTTGGGAAAAATGGTTGTCTCTCTGCCCGTAGGGGGATGGGTTTTATTTTCTCTCTGTCAGTGGGAAAGGATGGGTTTAATTGTCTCTCTCTCATAGTAGGAAGGTTTTTTGTCCTCTCTCAAGGGGGGATAGGTCATTGTCTCTCTCAGTGGGGGATGGGTTTATTGCTCTCGGGCAGAAAGGAGGATGGTTTAAATTGTCTTTTGTCAGTAGCAGGATAGGTTATTGTCTCTCTCAATAGGAGGATAGGTTATTGTCTCTGTCAGTAGGAGGATAGGTTTTTGTCTCTCTCTCTCAGTAGGAGGATAGGTTATTGTCTCTCTCTCTCTCAGTAGGAGGATAGGTTATTGTCTCTCTCTCTCTCTCTCAGTAGGATGATAAGTTGTCTCTCTCTCAGTTGGAGGATAGGTTATTGTCTCTCTCAGTAGGAGGATAGGTGATTGTCTCTCTCTCTCAGTAGGATGATAGGTTAATTTTCTCTCTCAGTAGGAGGATAGGTTATTGTCTCTCTGTCAGTAGGAGGATAGGTTGTTGTCTCTCTCAATAGGAGGATAGGTTGTCTCTTTGTCAGTAGGAGGATAGGTTATTGTCTCTCAGTAGTAGGATAGGTTATTGTCTCTCTCTCAGTAGGAGGATAGGTTATTGTCTCTCTCTCAGTACGTTGATAGGTTATTGTCTCTCACAGTATGAGGATAGGTTATTGTCTCTCTGTCAGTAGGAGGATAGTTTATTGTCTCTCTGTCAGTAGGAGGATAGGTTATTGTCTCTCTCAGTAGGAGGATAGGTTATTGTCTTTCTCAGTAGGAGGATAGGTTATTGTCTCTCTCAGTAGGAGGATAGGTTATTGTCACTCTCAGTAGGAGGATAGGTTATTGACTCTCCCTCAGTAGGAGGATAGGTTATTGTCTCTCTGTCAGTAGGAGGATAGGTTATTATCTCTGTCAGTAGGAGGATAGGTTATTGTCTCTCTCAGTAGGAGGATAGGTTATTGCCTCTCTCTCTCAGTAGGAGGATAGGTTATTGTCTCTCTCTCAGTAGGAGGATAGGTTATTGTCTCTCTGTCAGTAGGAGGATAGGTTATTGTCTCTCTGTCAGTAGGAGGATAGGTTAGTATCTCTCAGTAGGAGGATAGGTTATTGTCTCTCTCTCTCTCTCTCTCTCTCAGTAGCAGGATAGGTTATTGTCTCACTCTCAGTAGGAGGATAGGTTATTGTCTCTCTCTCAGTAGGATGATAGGTTATTGTCTCTCTCAGTAGGAGGATAGGTTATTGTCTCTGTCAGTAGGAGGATATGTTATTGTCTCTCTCAGTAGGAGGATAGGTTATTGTCTCTCTCAGTAGCAGGATAGGTTATTGTATCTCTGTTGGAGGATAGGTTATTGTCTCTCAGTAGGAGGATAGGTTATTGTCTCTCTGTCAGTAGGAGGATAGGTTATTGTCTCTCTCAGTAGGAGGATAGGTTATTGTCTCTCTCTCAGTAGGAGGGTAGGTTGTCTCTCTCAGTAGGAGGATAGGTTATTGTCTCTCTCTCTCAGTAGGAGGATAGGTTATTGTCTCTGTCTCAGTAGGAGGATAGGTTGTCTCTCAGTAGGAGGAGATGTTATTGTCTCTCTCTCTCAGTAGGAATAGGTTATTCTCTCTCTCTCTCAGTAGTAGGATAGGTTATTGTCTCTCTCTCTCTCTCAGTAGGAGGATAGGTTATTGTCTCTCTCAGTAGCAAGATAGGTTATTGTCTCTCTCTCTCAGTAGGAGGATAGGTTATTGTCTCTCTCTCTCAGTAGGAGGATAGGTTATTGTCTCTCTCTCTCAGTAGGAGGATAGGTTATTGGACATTTGGTTTTCAACCTCGCATGGAGGGTCAGGGTTTTTTCCGCCCTGCACATATCATCTCTTTCTTAATAAGCTTAAACTTGATTAAACTTGTCATTCCATTTTTTTATAGGCTATTGATTGTTTGTTCTCTCTCGTTATTAGTCCCCTGGCTACCTTACGTTTTTAGGCTATTCAAAAAAAAAACGTAGATGGAACTGTTAGATTATTGGATTCATTCGTTGTATGATCGGGAGAAAGCCATGCATGCATAAAACGATGAAAGCATATAGGCCAAAGTCGTCATATTCAGCCTATTGAAATGAGAGAGAAAGTAATATAGGCTACGTTTTTTTAAAGCCGCTAGACACAAGATAGTTAGGAGTTAATAGGGTTAGGCAATAAGGCCCATGCCTCTGAGAGAGAGAGAGAGAGAGAAACAGTAGGTTCTGACTGGACATGGTGTTATTCTCCTACATTCCTCTATTACGTTCTCTATAACCCTAACCCTATCGTAATAACCCGTTCTCTATATAACATATTTATTGAAATAGGCTTTAGCAAATAGAATAGCCTCTCGGGAATGTCACTCATGCGCTGCACTGCTTTAACCCTAACCCTAACCCTTTACTACGTGGCACCAGTCAAGTTCTAACAGGCTAAACCATCGCCTAACCCTAACCCTAACCCTAACCCTTTACTACGTGGCACCAGTCAAGTTCTAACAGGCTAAACCATCGCCCAACCCTAACCCTAACCCTAACCCTAACCCTTTACTACGTGGCACCAGTCAAGTTCTAACAGGCTAAACCATCGCCCAACCCTAACCCTAACCCTAACCCTAACCCTAACCCTTTACTACGTGGCACCAGTCAAGTTCTAACAGGCTAAACCATCGCCCAACCCTAACCCTAACCCTAACCCTAACCCTTTACTACGTGGCACCAGTCAAGTTCTAACAGGCTAAACCATCGCCCAACCCTAACCCTAACCCTAACCCTAACCCTAACCCTTTACTACGTGGCACCAGTCAAGTTCTAACAGGCTAAACCATCGCCCAACCCTAACCCTAACCCTAACCCTAACCCTTTACTACGTGGCACCAGTCAAGTTCTAACAGGCTAAACCATCGCCCAACCCTAACCCTAACCCTAACCCTAACCCTAACCCTAACCCTAACCCTTTACTACGTGGCACCAGTCAAGTTCTAACAGGCTAAACCATCGCCCAACCCTAACCCTAACCCTAACCCTAACCCTAACCCTTTACTACGTGGCACCAGTCAAGTTCTAACAGGCTAAACCATCGCCCAACCCTAACCCTAACCCTAACCCTAACCCTTTACTACGTGGCACCAGTCAAGTTCTAACAGGCTAAACCATCGCCCAACCCTAACCCTAACCCTAACCCTATCTAACCCTAACCCTATCTAACCCTAACCCTATCTAACCCTAACCCTATCTAACCCTAACCCTTTACTACGTGGCACCAGTCAAGTTCTAACAGGCTAAACCATCGACGGTGTCAGTCAATCACTATCGTAATATCGCCTAACCCTAACCCTAACCCTATCTAACCCTAACCCTTTACTACGTGGCACCAGTCAAGTTCTAACAGGCTAAACCATCGACGGTGTCAGTCAATCACTATCGTAATATCGCCCAACCCTAACCCTAACCCTAACCCTATCGTAATATCGCCCAACCCTAACCCTAACCCTAACCCTATCGTAATATCGCCCAACCCTAACCCTAACCCTAACCCCTAACCCTAACCCTAACCCTATCGTAATATCGCCTAACCCTAACCCCTAACCCCTAACCCTATCGTAATATCGCCTAACCCTACCTAACCCTAACGTAATATCGCCTAACCCTAACCCTAACCCTAACCCCTAACCCCAACCCTATCCCTAACCCTATCCCTAACCCTAACCCTAACCCTATCGTAATATCGCCCAACCCTGACCCCTGACCCCAACCTTAATGAATCCTAACCCTCTCCTCTCTCTGTTTCAGTACGCCTTGGAGCGTTTAAAAGTGATGTGTGAAGAGGCTCTGTGCAACAGCCTCTCTGTGGAGAACGTGGCTGATACCCTCATCCTGGCAGACTTACACAGTGCCGAGCAGCTCAAAGCACAAGCCATAGATTTTATCAACAGGTAAGTATCTGTAGAAAGTCCTAGTGATGAATTCCTCCTGCCAGCTGCGTTTACCTTCTCTCAGCGCTGCTCTGTTATCTCCTATAGGTGCAGCGTCCTCCGACAGCTGGGCAGTAAAGATGGGAAAAACTGGAATAGCAAGTATGTAACTAGGTGATATGTGACACCAGATTAATAACAAACTCTTATCTCTCCCAAAGAGATGCATTAGAAATCATTGTTTTAGCTACAGAGCCAGGGAGGAGGGCGCCAGCAGGGCCAGTATTGGGCTGTTCAGTGGCTCCCTATCTCTGAGCCATGATATTAATATACCTGGGTATGGTACTGTTCTACAATAGGAAATGAAGCATTGGTTTTATTCTGTGTGATGTAGTGTCTCGTTAAGGACTCCTTGAATCATCTCAGTATTTATCATAGAGGAGGATGACTTGTTTTACTGGTGATCATCTGACTTCAGTAGTATGAATAGGGTGAGTCCCCACCACCATCACTACTGCTGCAGCTCTGTCTGAAACACTGCTTCATATCTCTGTATTTATACTGAACAAAAATAGAAACGCAACATGAACAATTTCAAAGATTTTACTGAGTTTACAGTTCATATAAGGAAATCAGTCAATTGAAATAAATTCATTAGGCCCTAATCTATGGATTTCACGACTGGGAATACAGATATGCATCTGTTGGTCACAGATATCTTTTTTTTTAAAGGTAGGGGTGTGGATCAGAAAACCAGTCAGTATCTGGTGTGGCCACCATTTGCCTCATGCAGTGCGACACATCTCCTTCGCATAGGGTTGATCAGGCTGTTGATTGTGGCCTGTGGAATGTTGTCCCACTCCTCTTCAATGGCTGTGGGAAGTTGCTGGATATTGGCGGGAACTGGAGCACGCCGTGGTACACATCGATCCAGAGCATCCCAAACATGCTCAATGGGTGACATGTCTGGTGAGTATGCAGGCCATGGAAGAACTGGGACATTTTCCGCTTCCAGGAATTGTGGACAGATCCTTGCGACATGGGGCTGTGCATTATCATGCTGAAACATGAGGTGATGATGAATGGCACGACAATGGGCCTCAGGATCTCGTCACAGTGTCTCTATGCATTCAAATTGCCATCGATAAAATGCAATTGTGTTCGTTGTCCGTAGCTTATGCCTGCTCATACCATAACCCCACCACCACCATGTTCACAACGTTGACATCACCAAACCGCTCACTCACACGACGCCATATACGCTGTCTGCCATCTGCCCGGTACAGTTGAAACAGGGATTCATCCATGAAGAGCACACTTCTCCATTATGCCAGTGGCCATCGAAGGTGAGCATTTTCCCACTGAAGTCGGTTACGACGCCAAACTGCAGTCAGGTCAAGACCCTGGTGAGGACGACGAGCACCCAGATGAGCTTCCCTGAGACGGTTTCTGACAGTTCGTGTAGAAATTATTCGGTTGTGCAAACCCACAGTTTCATCAGCTGTCTGGGTGGCAGGCCTCATATGATCACACAGGTGAAAAAACCAGGTGTGGAGGTCCTGGGCTGGCGTGGTTACACGTGGTCTACGGTTGTGAGGCCGGTTGGACGTACTGCCAAATTCTCTAAAATAACGTTGTAGGTGGCTTATGGTAGAGAAATGAACATTCAATTATTTAGCAACCGCTCTGGTGGACATTCCTGCAGTCAACATGCCAATTGCACACTCCCTCAAAACTTGAGACATCTGTGGTATTGTGTTGTGTGACAAAACTGCACATTTTAGAGTGGCCTTTTATTGTCCCCAGCACAAGGTGCACCTGTGTAATGATCATGCTGTTTAATCAGCTTCTTGATTTGCCACACCTGTCAGGTGGATGGATTATCTTGGCAAAGGATAAATGCTCACTAACAGGGATGGAAACACATTTGCTCCTGAGTGGCGCAGTGGTCTAAGGCACTGCATCGCAGTGCTAGCTGTGCCACTAGAGATCCTGGTTCGTATCCAGGCTCTGTCGCAGCCGGCCGCGCAATTGGGCGGCGCACAATTGGCCCAGCGTCGTCCAGGGTAGGGGAGGGAATGGCCGGCAGGGATGTAGCTCAGTTGATAGAGCATGGCGTTTGCAACGTCAGGGTTGTGGGTTCGTTTCCCACGGGGGGCCAGTATAATTTTTTATTTTATTTTTATAATAATGTATGCACTCACTAACTGTAAGTCGCTCTGGATAAGAGCGTCTGCTAAATGACTAAAATGTAAATGTAAAATTTGTGCATATGGAACATTTCTGGGATCTTTTATTTCATCTCAAGAAACATGGTCATGAAACACTTTACATGCTCTGTTGATATTTTTGTTCAGTGTATTTATTCTGTCATTACAGCCCTAGATTGGTTTTTAATGTCTCTGGTTTCAGATGTTTGGGGGTTAATTTCCTGTCTGTGTGGTTGTGTTGCAGTTATGCCACGGACATAATGGAGACGGCAGGCTGGAAGTCAATGATCCAGTCCCACCCTCACTTAGTGGCTGAGGCCTTCAGAGCCCTGGCATCGGCACAGTGCCCACCCTTCGGCCTGCCGAGGAAACGCCTAAAACAGTCCTAACTGCTACAGCCCACTGATACAGACACTAGGAGCTGAGAGCTGAGGCAGCATGGAGACCCGAGCAGGGCTGAACAGAGCTGGGAGGCTAACTGGCTGGGAGGCTAACTGGCTGGGAGGCTAACTGGCGGAATGTAACGTTTGGTTTTGGTCCTCAAGTTTTGTCTGCTATTTTTCTGTCATTTCAAATGGCCTTAATCTATCTGCCATTGCTCTGGAGCTGATCGACTGTGTTCTCTCTATTTGACTCTGTGCCTGACCCGTCCCACAGACCAGGCTGCCCCGTCCCACAGACCAGGCTGCCCCGTCCCACAGACCAGGCTGCCCCGTCCCACAGACCAGGCTGCCCCGTCCCACAGTCCAGGCTGCCCCGTCCCACAGACCAGGCTGCCCCGTCCCACAGACCACCAGACCAGGCTGCCTCCAGATTGCACTAGTTCCCATAGTCATTTTGATATGGAATTCTATAGGGACGTGTTAAGGGTTTGATTCATGGGAAATATTATATATTTGTAATGTTTAGCCCATTTTGTGACTAGACATTAAAAAGCGTGAACACTTTCAGTGCAAGGTCAATTCTTTACACTTTTTAAAAGATGAGTATGCCCCATATTGATGGCACCATTTCTATGTAAATGACAGTTGAACCATCTTCAGAAGACCGGTTTTAAAGCAAGTCTGTTCTATTTTCTGGCATTACGAGACCCTGTGTTGATGCTGTTATTGTATGTAAGACAAACATGTCGATACTCTCTGCCCCTGAACTAGTCAAACTATTGGACAAATAGGAAAGGCAATTTCCCCAGACAGTCTCCCATTGGACGATCACTTATGCAAAGACCAACCTACAGTGCTTTCAGACAGTATTCATACCCCTTGACTTATTCCACATTTTGTTGTTCCAGCCTGAATTCAAAATGGATTGAATAGATTGTTTTTCTCACCCATCTACACACAATACCCCATAATAACAAAATGAAAACATGTTTTTTGAAATGTTTGCAAATGTATTGAAAATCATATACAGAAATATCTAATTTACATAAGTATTCACACCTTTGGGTATGTATGTCTGAATCAGCTTTGAGTCGTCTTCAGTATGTCTGAATCAGCTTTGAGTCGTCTTCAGTATGTCTGAATCAGCTTTGAGTCGTCTTCAGTATTTCTGAATCAGCTTTGAGTCGTATTCAGTATGTCTGAATCAGCTTTGAGTCGTCTTCAGTATGTCTGAATCAGCTTTGAGTCGTCTTCAGTATGTCTGAATCAGCTTTGAGTCGTCTTCAGTATGTCTGAATCAGCTTTGAGTCGTCTTCAGTATTTCTGTATCAGCTTTGAGTCGTCTTCAGTATGTCTGAATCAGTTTTGAGTCGTCTTCAGTATGTCTGAATCAGCTTTGAGTCGTCTTCAGTATGTCTGAATCAGCTTTGAGTCGTCTTCAGTATGTCTGAATCAGCTTTGAGTCGTCTTCAGTATGTCTGAATCAGCTTTGAGTCGTCTTGAGTATTTCTGTATCAGCTTTGAGTCGTCTTGAGTATTTCTGTATCAGCTTTGAGTCGTCTTCAGTATGTCTGAATCAGCTTTGAGTCGTCTTCAGTATGTCTGAATCAGCTTTGAGTCGTCTTCAGTATGTCTGAATCAGCTTTGAGTCGTCTTCAGTATGTCTGAATCAGCTTTGAGTCGTCTTCAGTATGTCTGAATCAGCTTTGAGTCGTCTTCAGTATGTCTGAATCAGCTTTGAGTCGTCTTCAGTATGTCTGAATCAGCTTTGAGTCGTCTTCAGTATGTCTGAATCAGCTTTGAGTCGTCTTCAGTATGTCTGAATCAGCTTTGAGTCGTCTTCAGTATGTCTGAATCAGCTTTGAGTCGTCTTCAGTATGTCTGAATCAGCTTTGAGTCGTCTTCAGTATGTCTGAATCAGCTTTGAGTCGTCTTCAGTATGTCTGAATCAGCTTTGAGTCGTCTTCAGTATGTCTGAATCAGCTTTGCACATCTTGATTTGGGGATTTCCTCCCATTATTCTTAACAGGCCTCCTGTAGCTCAGTTGGTAGAGCATGGCGCTTGCAATGCCAGGGTTGTGGGTTCGATTCCCACGGGGGGCCAGTATGAAAAATGTATGCACTAACTGTAAGTCGCTCTGGATAAGAGCGTCTGCTAAATGACTAAAATGTAAAAATGTAACAGAGCTTGAGAAAGCTAGTTAGATGGGGAGCGGTGGTGAACAGCAATCTTCGAGTCTTTCCGCAGATTTTCTATGGGATTCAAGTCTGGGCTTTGGCTGGGCCACTGACGGACTTTCACATTCTTGTTCTGAAGCCATTCTAGCGTTGTTTTGGCTGTATGCTTGGGGTCATTGTCCTGTTGGAACGGAAATCTTCGCCCTAGTGTAAGGTCGTTTGCACTCTGAAGCAGTTTCTCATCAAGGACTTGCCTGTATTTGGCTCCATTCATTGTTCCCTCTATCCTTACCAGTCTCCCAGTCCCTGCCACTGAAAAGCATCTCCATAGCATGATGCTGCCACCTCCATGCTTCACGCTAGGGACAGACGGGTGAATGATGCTGCCACCACCATGCTTCACGGTAGGGACAGACGGGTGAATGATGCTGCCACCTCCATGCTTCACGGTAGGGACAGACGGGTGAATGATGCTGCCACCACCATGCTTCACGGTAGGGACAGACGGGTGAATGATGCTGTCACCACCATGCTTCACGCTAGGGACAGACGGGTGAATGATGCTGCCACCACCATGCTTCACGGTAGGGACAGATGAGTGAATGATGCTGCCACCACCATGCTTCACGCTAGGGACAGACGGGTGAATGATGCTGCCACCACCATGCTTCACGGTAGGGATGGTGTAAGGCGGGTGATGAGCTGTGCCTGGTTTTCATCACACATAGCGCTTTGCATTCAGGCCAAAGAGTAAAACATTTTGTCTCATCGGACCACAGAATATTTTGCCTTATGCTCAGAGTCTTTCACGTGCCTTTTTGCCAACTCCAGACGTGCTGTCATGTGCCTTTCTCAGGAGTGGCTTTGTTCTGGCCACTCTCCCATAAAGCCCAGATTGGTGGTGCTGTAGAGACTGTTGTCCTTCTGGCAGGTTCTCCCATCTCAGCCAAGGAACTCTGTAGTTCTGTCAGAGTGGTCATTGGGTTATTGGTCTCCTCCCTGACCAAGGTCCTTCTTGCCCGGTTGATCAGTTTGGTCGGACGGCCAGCTCTAGGCAGAGTCTGGGTAGTTCCATATTTTTATTTATTTCCCGATGATGGAGACCACTGGGCTCTTGGAAACTTTCAACACACTAGAAATTGTTTTATTCCCTTCCCCAGATACACTGAGTATACCAAGCATTAGGAACGCCTTCCTAATATTGACTTGCTCCCCTTTTGCCCTCAGAACAGACTCAATTCGTCGGGCATGGACTCTACAAGGTGTCGAAGGCATTCAGTGGTGATGCTGGCCCATGTTGACTCCAAAGCTTCCCACAGTTGTTAAGTTGGCTGGATGTCCATTGGGTAGTGGACCATTCTTGATATACACGGGAAACTGTTGAGCGTGAAAAACCCAGCAGCGTTGCAGTTCTTGACACAAACCGTTGTGCCTGGCACCTACTACCATACCCCGTTCAAATGCACTTAAATATTTTGTCTTGCCCATTCACCCTCTGAATGGAACACATACACAATCCATGTTTCGATTGTATCAAGGCTTAAAAATCCTTCTTTAACCTGTCTCCTTCCCTTCATCTACACTGATTGAAGTGGATTTAACAATGACATCAATAAGGGATCCTAGCTCCTTGGACTTCGTGGTATAGTTTCTGCTCTGACATGTACTGTCAACTGTGGGACCTTATAAATCATGTCCAAACAATTGAATTGGCCACAGGTGGACTCCAATCAAGTTGTAGTGACGGCTCAAGGATGATCAAAGGAAACAGGATGCACCTGGGCTCAGTTTGGGGCATAATAGTGGTAATACTTATGTCAATTAGATATTTCTGTATTTGATTTTCAATAAATATGCAACATTTTCTAAAAACATGTCTTCACTTTGTCATTATGGGTAATTGTGTGTATATGGGTGAGAGAGAAATCTATCTAATCTATTTTGAAGTCAGGCTGTAACTCAACAAAATGTGGAATAAGTCAAGGGGGATGTCCACCAAGGGGTCTGAATACTTTGAGGCACTGTATAGATTCAACTTCCAGAGATTTAGCTTTCCATGTTACTACCAACTTGCAGATATTTATATATTCTCAATATGATGTGGTTAACAAAAGAACAACTTTGGGAAGACTAATGCATGGTCCTGTGTTGTTGACAAGAAGTGTCCAGGTTCACATTTTGTCATTAACCATTTTCTTTTGTTTGTGCAATTATCTAAAAGTATCTGTAAAGGATTTAAATGAATCAAGCTCCAACAGTATTGGATATGGAGCTGTATCGGCTGCATTATTACAGTCTGTTATAGGAGTCAGGCCAGCTTCACATTCTAACCAGTCAGGACCTGAAACTGATTCAATTCATCAATGGAAAAAATGATGTTGGTCATACAGCCATGATGTGTTGTATGGATGGGTCACATGTTGGTTGGCTGTTAAGTGACATAGCTGCTGTTATTTTATAGTATGACAGAAATGCCTATGTGGAGAATTTTGGGAAATACTGAAAGCAGCATCCTTTTTACATGGAATTACTCAGTCCTTCTGTGTTCGTTTGCGATGTTGAAAAAAGATTGTTGCCTGCATTAACCCATTAAATATGTTTTACAGCAGTTGGTACTTTATTTACCTGACAACACTACTTTACTTATTTACCTGATCACACTACTTTATTTTATTTACCTGAATACACAACTTTACCTGTGGTCACTACTTTATTTACCAAAGTGCACTACTTTACTTTATTTACTGAGTACACACATGTATTTACGAGCACACTACTTTACTTTATTTACCTGATTACACTACTTGACATACAGTGCTATGAAAAAGTATTTGCCCCCTTTCTAATTTTCTCTACTTTTGCATATTTGTGATACTGAATGTTATCAGATCTTCAACCAAAACCTAATATTAGATAAAGGGAACATAAGTGGACAAATAACACAACAATTACATATTTATTTCATTTATTTCATAAACAAAGTTATGCAACACCCAATTCCCCTTTGTGAAAAAGTAATTGCCCCCATGAATTCTGCTCTGTATCAGAGAATTCTACAGGAGAATGTCAGACCATCCGTCTGTGAGCTGAAGCTGAAGCGCAGCTGGGTCATGCAGCAAGACAATGATCCAAAACACACAATCAAGTCTACATGAAAATTGCTAAAAAGCAACAAATTGGAAGTTTTGGAATGGCCTAGTCAAAGTCCAGACCTAATCCCAATTGAGATGTTGTGGAAGGACTTGAAACGAGCAGTTCATGC